GCGCCGAACGAAGTAACCGTCTCCATTAGTCTCGGTCCTGAGCCAATCGCTTCCAGTCGCCTTGGACGTTCAAGGACCTAATGTCCTCCTCAACTGCACAAAGCCAACGCGTGCGTGGCCTACCCAGAAGCCGACGTCCTCTTCCGGGTTCCCTGCTGAATATTGACTTCGCTTGACGCTCTTCCGGCATTCGTGCCACATGCCAAGCCCACTGTAGCCTGCCGTGTTTTATAAGCTTCACAATATCCATGCCGTTATATACTTGGTACAACTCGTGATTCATGCGACGCTGCCAGATGCCATTTTCCAGTTTACCGCCGAGTATTGTTCGCAGCACTTTACGCTCGAAGACACCGAAAGCTCTCCGATCGGCCTCTTTCAATGCCCACGATTCGTGGCCATAAAGGGCTACCGGCAGAATCAACGTCTTGTACAGCGCGAATTTCGTTTTCGTACGCAAGCTGCGGGACTTCATCTGGCTACGCAACCCGTAGAAAGCCCTGTTCGCGGCTGCACTACGCCTTTGCACCTCGCGGGTAACATCATTATCGCACGTCACTAAAGTACCAAGATAAACAGATTCGTCCACAACTTCAAATTTTTCGCCATCTAGCACCACTTCACTACCAACACCACTATTGCTCCCACGCTTTCTACCGGCGACCATGTACTTCGTTTTGGTAGAATTTATCGTGAGACCAATCCTCGCTGTCTCCCTCTTAAAAGGCGCGAACGCCTCTTCCACTGCTCTACGGTCGATTCCGATGATGTCGATGTCGTCCGCAAAACCAAGGAGCATGTGCGACTTTGTGATGATGGTACCGTTCCTCTGCACGCCAGCACTCCTAATCGCTCCTTCGAGGGCGATGTTGAATAGCAAGTTCGAAAGAGCATCTCCCTGCTTCAACCCATCTAAGGTCACGAACGAGGCCAAAATCTCGTCTGCAACCCGTACACATGATTCCGAACCATCCAGCGTTGCACGAATCAGCCTAAGTAGTTTCGTCGGAAAACAGTTTTCTTGCATTATCTGCCATAGCTCGTTTCTCTTAACTGAATCGTACGCTGCCTTGAAATCTATGCACAGATGATGAGTCTGCAAGTTTTATTCCCGGAACTTCTCAAGGGTTTGACGCAGGGTAAACATTTGATCCGTCGTTGATCGACCCTCACGAAAACCAGCCTGGTATTCGCCGACGAAGGATTCCTCAAGCGGTCTCAATCTGTTGAACAGAACACGTGCTAATATTTTGTACGCCGAATTCAGAAGCGTGATTCCTCTGTAATTGGCGCACTCCAGTCTGTGTCCCTTTTTGTAGAGGGGACAAACGAGACCAACTAGCGGGCAATTCTTCCTCCTCCCATATCTTGAGCAGTATACGGTGGATCATCTGGTGCAGCTGATCACTTCCGTGTTTGAGAAGTTCGGCCGGGAGCTCGTCCTTCCCCGCAGCCTTACTGTTTTTCAGCTCTCGTATCGCCTTTTTCACCTCTTCTAGCGTTGGTGGTTCCACAGCTTGACCATCGTCGTCGATGTGTGTTCTGTTTGTAGATGCTCTCTCGTTCTCTCCGTTCAGCAACGTCTCGAAGTACTCCTTCGACCTGGCAGCCACCATCGTTTTATCTGTCAGCAGATTACCTTCACGGTCATTGCACATGGTGGGAGACAAGACGGCGCTGTCTTACTCTTCACGCCATTGACAGTTGCGTAAAACCTTCGCATATCATTCTGCTCCATACTTTCTTGCGCCTTAGCAATAACGCGTTCTTAGTACTGCCTTTTTTTTCTGCGATGGGTTCGTTTCTCGTCTGACGTTGCTACCCTGTACCGCTCTCTGTTCTGACGGGTACCAGACACCAACATCCGGCTTCTGGCGACGTTCTTCTCCTCTGTCACTCGCTGGCACTCCTCGTCAAACCACCCGTTCCGGGGACGCCTCTGAGCTGTACCTATCACCTCTCGTGCTGTTGTGCTCACCGCTCCGTGGACAGCTTCCCAGAGATTGTTGAGATTCTCGTTCACGTTGATTTCCGCTATCCGCTCATTCAGCTTCTGGTGGTACTCTGCAGCAACACCATCTACTGTCAAACGTTGGATGTTGAAACGCATCGATCTCCGGTTTCTCGAACTCGTAACGGTCGATAGACGCGCTCGAATTTTCGCGACAACGAGGTAGTGATCCGAGTCGATATTAGGACCCCTGAAGGTCCTGACATCTACGACATCCGAGAAATGCCAACCATCCACCAACACGTGGTCGATCTAGGAGCAAGTTTCGCCATTAGGGTGTCTCCAGGTGTACTTTCGGATATCTTTGCGTGCAAAGTGGGTGCTACTGATGACCATATCGCGAGCAGCAGCGAAGTTTATCAGCTTCAGGCCATTATCATTCGTTGCAGAGTGAAGGCTCTCTGTTCCAATGATTGGGCGAAAGAATTCCTCTCTTCCGACCTGCGCGTTGCATCTCCGATGACAACCTTCACGTCGTGTTTAGGGCACTCATCATAGCTTTTATCCAGGCTTTCATAAAACGCGTCCTTCACGTCATCGGATTTATCGTTAGTCGGTGCGTAGATGTTGATCAGGCTGTAATTGAAGAATTTTCCACGAATCCTCAAAACGCAGATGCGCTCGCTAACCGGTTTCCACCGCATAACCCGCTTCATCTGTTTCCCAATCACTACGAAACCAACTCCGTGTTCTGCTCTATCGCCACCGCTGTAGTAGATATGGTATTTGAACGATGTTTTGGCGATAGGATCTACCGCCCTAAATTCACGTTCTCCAGATCTAAGCCCTCCGTACTTCTTGAATAGCAGCCACACTCACATTCACCTTTTGCAGTTCACGGGCCAGAAGGCCCACTCGTCCAGGTTCATTTAACGTTCTGACATTCCAAGAACCGAGTTTCCATTCATTTTCCTTATTTCGTTGCCGTTGGGTCAGTTGCCGAAAATTCCGTTAGTTTTTTTTTTCTTCTTACTTCATTTTTCTGAGTATTTTTATAATTCAGTATGCTACCGTACCAGGGTCGCGATACCTACATCGTGTTGATGGGGCTGCCATCTTAGGTTGAGTTGACACGATTCAACATTTCTCATTTCAGCCGCTGCATGTCAGACAGACGCTGTTTGAGCCGCACCTCCTGGTGGACAGACGCTCGGGTTATTGTGTAGATGGGGCTGCCATCTAAGATTTAGCTGAAACAATACAGCATTTCTTTTTTCAGCCGCTGGATCCCAGACAGACGCATCGAAGTGCACCAGGTACAACTGGTTCCGGAATGCACTGGTTTCATCACGTCTCGCAATGGGAAAAAAAAATGTTGATTGGTTGCAGATGAAGGTGCTCCAATTCTGCTTTGATCTCCGCAACAGGAAGATTTGGAAGACCACGGATCACCATTTTCAGTGGTTTTCTTCCAGGGACGTCGTGAGTGTAGAACCGGTTCAGCTGAAGAAAAGTGTCAACAGCGTTGTAGTCCGCCAGCGTCGAGCACAAGATTTTGATCCCCGAGCTGCACAGCTTGAACAGCGGATGGATTTGAGTTTTAGCCAGCTCATTCCTGAGCAACGCGAGTTCCTTCGTCGAGGTGAACAGTGGTTGCACTTTTTCCCGTTTCTCAACTGCATCTACATCTGCTTCTTCGGGGAGTGCCGAGAACGGATTAATCTGACGTAACCTTTCCGTGTGGTTGCTGGCACCAGCTTGCTTGCGAGGCCTTATCGGGGCATCTTGAACGGATGCGGCTGCATCCACACTTTGGCGACCCATCACCTTTTGTTTTTTCAACGGGTGAGTGGAGGCATTCAAATGTTGCTCCACTACCACCGATTTAGCGACTGTCACAAGAGAGGCGAGAACTGACGACACGTTGCTAGCAACATCGTATATGTTTGGGATCTCATGGTATAAACTCTTTCATCTATCATCTATCATCGTATCTCTTTCATCAAAATATGCCACTTCATAGGTATATTTTTACAATCACCCCTCCTCCCGAGAGTTATACCCCTCCAAAAAAAGTTTGATAATTTAAACTGAAAGTCAACTAAATTTACTTTGCAAATCATTTGAAACTTCAGAAATCCAGTGAAATTTATTTAAAATACGGCAATTTGAATTTGGGGTCAAATTGACCCAGGGTGAAGACAACGTAAGTATTTCAATGTTTATTTTTTTCCAATAAATAAGGGAAATGAATGTAATGTCGGCCTGAATGCCATTAATTTGGGCCCATACATAAATGCAGAAAACGACTAAATTTTCCATAGCGACCAAAAATATCCATTAGTACCGTCCAAGAGACGCGTTAATCTAGATAAAATTGATAAATAGCAGATTTTTAGCGATGGGCCCAATCTTAAATCCATAGGCCAACATTAGAGTCTTTTCCCCTATTGTTTTAAACAGTTTGGAGCAGATTTTATCTAGTATTGTAGACCTCCGGTGAATGAACCTTGTCACGAAAGAATTGGTTAAATCCATCGAAAAAAAAACTTGCAGTTGAAAGGCTTAGTGAAAGATTGTTCATTTCTGAAAGAACTCAAAGATCAAATCAAAACAAAAGAAATGGAATAAAAGTCTTAACTAACCAGAAAGAGCTCATCTCAATTTGATGCTTCTGAACTCTTTTATCGAAGAAATGGTTAGTGCTGTATTGAAGCTAGTATGTCTTTGCAGGAATATTGTAACGGAATTTCATTAGGGTTACTTCTACTCTACTACTTAGTTGCATAATGATTTTGAAGCTATTCGACAGAATCAACAATCAAGTTGCCTTCCGAGGCGCTTGTTCTACACGGTATCGACAAAAGGTCACATCAGCTTGGCTTACCAGTCCATCCCCGTGAAGAGCAAGACTGAGTAGGTACCTCCAGTATGTCTCATCTATTTTGCATCAGGAACCGTAATTGGATTGCTTATGAAAGGGAGCCGAGAAACTTCAGCACATGTTTCCATGCAAGATAAAAGATGCAAACTACTACTACTCACTCACCTATCCAGCATCTTGGTGCTTGACTTCTCGTAGCGCTCGAGCAGTTGCGGCAAGTGTGCGTCGTCATCGCAGGAGCTGCCCCAGCCCAGCACCCGCGCCAGATCGTTTCCGGTGCCCAGTGGAAGCACTGCTATTTGGCATTGTTTCTGAAAGAAGAGAAGGGAAAGGTGCTGTCACTTATTGTGATCTGAGAGGTTGGGAATGGTTTCGATTGATGTTCTATCATAAACTCTCATGAATAAAAAAAAACAACAACAAGATTACAGCTTAACGATGGCACACGTGAATTGGCCCATTAAATTTTTCCACGCCATAAATTTATTGGTATACCACATTTTAATATGATTTCAGTATCCTCCCAGGCTACAAAGCAAAGGAAACAAGTTGCCGCACACCTCAGAGGATTTTTCTCACATTTCTACTCATCTAAAGGGCGAACACGAAATTATTGCGACACCGAAAATGTCATGCCAATTTTCTTACAATATTTAGAATCAAACCAAAATTTTAGGGTAGTTTTATACATATATTTACTTCAAAAATCAAAAGAAAAGTTAATCGATGGAGCCTTGAGTGTAAAATTGAACGCATTTTCGCTTGATGCCCTCCATCAAAGTCTTTACAGTGTCATCCGGTACCAGTTTCTCAGTTTTTTTTTTTCCATTTTCTTAACATGTCCTTCTCGTCTTTGACTGTCTTCTTGCTCTTTCGAAGTTCCCGCTTCATTATTGCCCAGTACTGCTCCACCGGGCGCAGCTCCGGACAGTTTGGCGGATTCATGTCCTTTGGAACAAAATGGACAGAATTGGCCTCATACCACTCCAGGACACTTTAAGAATAGTGGCATGATGCCAAATCTGGCCAAAATAGCGGAGCTTCGTCGTGCTGCTGCAAGAACGGCAAAAGGCGCTTCTCGAGGCACTCAGATTTGTAGATCTCGCCATTTACTGTGCCCTTTGTCACGAAAGACTCACTCCTCAGTCCGCAAGAGCAGATGGCCTGCCAAATGAGATATTTGGAGGCGAACTTCGACATTTTCTTCTTCTTAAATTTGTCGTCCACATCGAACTTGCTCTTGCCGGTGAAAAACTCCAACCCCGGAATTTGCTTAAAATCGGCTTTTATATACGTTTCGTCGTCCATCACACAGCAGCCATATTTTGTCAGCATCTTCTCGTAGAGCTTCCGTGCCCGAGTTTTAGCCGTCGATTGTTGCCGCTCATCGCGGTTTGGGAAGTTCTGTACCTTGTATGTATGTAGTCCAGCTCTCTTCTTTGCATTCTGGACGTAGATCTGCGACATGCCGATCTTTTTAGCCAAATCACGGCTTGAGACGTTGGGATTTGCTTTAATCATCCGCTTCACCTTTCCCTCCGTCTTTTTGTTCTCCGGTCCCGGTTTTCTTCCAGCTCCTTTGCCGTGGTCCAACGTCAACCACTCCTGGACCCGCGTCAACACTCTGGAGACGGTTGAATGGTGAATGTTCAACATTTTTCCCAACTGCCGGTGCGACAGGTCAGGAAATTCCAGGTGTTTGGAAAGAATTTGTTCTCTCAACTCGCGTTGGTTCACCTCCATTTTCGTTGAATCGAAAAACACGACTTCGAGTTTGACAGCATGTACACAATACACATCAATGAGAAAGTGTGCAAAATTTGGTTGATTTTTACCCAATGGTAAAAAAGTTATGCCCTGTTGAATGTGTCGCAATAATTTCGTGTTCGCCCTTTACTGGCGTTTGTCTCAAACAAACTGGAGGAACAATGAGATGGAAAATTTTATGGAACCAATTTTCTTTGCCATTACGCATCTGAAGAACCTTTCGGACGAGGGACGTGGGAATTTCCTTCCAGGCTAGTTTCTGCACGATGATGGCATAATTTACGTCTCACCCTTGCTGCCCAAAAGAACCTCAATGTGTACCTTTGTGAGATGGTAGAAAATAGCCATAAACAACCAAGCGTGAGAAACAAGTGAGGTAGAGCGTACGTGTGCTGAATATACACCTTCCTTCATTTTATCCAGAAGGATTCCGTTTTGTCTTTCAAATGGCAATGGCCCACTATTGTTGTTGAGCTGAAGGTCCCTTCAAAACCTAGACCGACGCAATATGGCTCCGTGGATTATTTTGGTATCCTATTGAAAGGGATGCAGGTAGATGTGGTGCTGACTAGATGATTTGTATAGAACGATGGAGTTTCAATTTATCGTTCGCTGTCTGATATGAAGGACAAAGTGTGTATGCAGTGAATTGCTCTGGATGGCTTCCCTAGATGCAGAATGTTGAAATTGGACACGATTTATCTGCAAAGCTGCAAAGCCGTTTAAGAATTAGTTATGAATTCTTCATAAACCCGAACATGTATTCAGTTTCGAAAATGTATTATCTCAACATGATAAAGTTGGAAACTTTTTTTTGTGTTCAATTATATCCAGACCATGACTATGACGGTTAATTATTGGCAGGCATGGAAAATCATTTACATTTATTTCATGCATTCATCAACATTCATTTGCTTCTAACTTTTTTGATCGACAGCATTCCGAAAAATGATGAATGAAGTTTTAGTAGGTTTTGTTATGAGCTACAACTTTTGTTCATAACTCAAATCTGTATCTCTTATGCATCACGAATTAGAGCGGGTAGAACTTGTTACTGTTTTCCAGTGAATGTAAAATATATTCACTGAAAAACAGTAGTGGCTTCTGTTCGCTCTGGTTCGTCATGCGTGAGAGATACGGATTTGAAATGTCAACAAAACTTGTAGCTAATAACAAATATATAAAATCCTCATTTTGCGGAATTCTGTTGATAAAAAAAGTTAGGGGCAAACATCCATGCATGCAAACATTCATGCATGTAAACTTCCTTTTCACGTAAACTGGCAGCTTGCAAGAAATGTTGCAAACAAAGGTGGAAAGTTGCATACAATATATGGAATATTGCATGACATGTCTCATAAATTTACACGATTTATAATGTAAATTTGTATGATTTATGACGCTCCATTTATGTGCATCATAGTAATAGAAATTAACACTACTTTTTTTTAGCTGTGTGTGAATGAATACACGAAATGAATGCAAATGATTTTCCATGCCTGATTATGGGTAACCAGCTCTGAAAACCAATTAGGCCAGAAAAATCTCAAATTTTTCTTTTTTCAACCTCCCCCACCACCCCCCTTCAAAATTTTGGAAAATCATAAAGGGGCTGTCCATAAACTATGTAGACAGTTTATGGGGGGTTGGCAATTATCCACGACCTATACAAAATTTAGTTTTTTTGTTTGTACAATTGTCTACGGAGGGGGAGGGAGGAATCCATAAAAAATACAGTCTACGTAGTTAATGAATAGCCCCAAAGGGGGAAATGAAAAAAAAAGTCAGTGTATATTTATTTTTCTAGCATCGCTTCTTCATTTGGGCATGGATACTCACTTTGCTACATTTTATTATGTTGTAGAATATCACCTTGTTCTTTAACAGAATTTTTACTTAAATCGGTACTAGACCGGTACGGCATACCAGGTCCTTGAAATCGGATCAGCCCGTTACAGTTGTTGAAAACGGATTTTATCGAACTCATTCCTAATCTTGTTTCGCAACTCACTAGGTAAGCCGCCATCAATCTGATTGATCCCCTTGTTCGCTGTGCACATCTTCGTCTTGCTCCAGTTGGGTCTCTACCAAGAACCATTTTCATTGGATCGTTATCCGACATTGTTACGATGTACCCAGCCCACCGTAGTCGCCCGATTTTCGCATTCGATCAAAATTTCGTTACTTACAAACATGCTGCAATGCTACTTAATGATTCAATTCTTTTCTACAGTGATTCAACAATTTTCGAGCTAAATGCAATATTTTCAAAATTTGTTTAAATTTTTTTTAAAGTGAGACCAAGTCAGAAACGATTCAGGAAATTCCTAATTGAGGTGACATTTTTCGAAGCAGATTCAAAACTGAGTCGAATAAGTCATCAACACTTTTATAACTGAGTCTAAACCGTTCTGTTATGTTATTCAATACTTTTTAAAGTTTTCTGAAGTGATCCAACATATCCCAAACCAGAGCTTTAAAGAATTGGTTTCGCATTTTCTGGGGTGAGGCCACATAAGCTGATGTAATCTCTTTCCTAAATGAATCCAAGGTTTCCTGCATTGATTCAACTTTTTCCTAACTGAATTCAAACTTGTCAGAACGGGTTTGACATTTTCCTAAGTGAGCCCCAGATTTTTGTCAACTGTTTTCGCATTTGTCAATGACACAATCTTGTTTTATATAATGGACCTAGCTGAATCCATACGTCAGGGTTGAATTTTTGAATTTTTGTGGAAACCTTTTAACTCGGTTATTCAAACACAAAGTCACAAAAATACGTATTTTGATGGAAGTTCGGGCTTCTTGTTCAGCCAAGTTGAAGTTTGGCGCCTTCCTTTGAAAATAGTCGTGGATTTGATGGAATTACTGAATCCACACAGCAAAAAATTAATTTTAATATCACATCAAAGTGGATGCACTTCAATCGTGTCGAAAATATGGTGTTATATTATTTGCCAAAAAGGACAACATTATCATAAATACAGGGCATTAACTGACATTACGCTGCTTTTACTGCATTTGTTTATTATTGTGACCATGAAAATTACATGAGATTTTTGACATGATTGTAGTGCATCCTCTTGGATGTAATATTAAAATTTATTTTTTGCTGTGCATACGTATTTTCATAGAAATTTGATTTTTCCGTTCTGCCAAATTGCATTTCGGCTCATATTTTTGAAAAATATGATGATATTTTATTGAATGGACCTTGTTGAATCCATACGTGAAGGTTGAACCGGGTTTGTAATTCGAAAAGTATATTTTTAGAAATTTGTGTTTCATGTTCTGCTTAGTTGGATTTTGATACCGTCCTTTGAAAGTTATGCTTGGATTTTATAGAATGGACCTTGCTGAATTCAGGTTTAAATTGACAAAAGTAAGTACTTTTATAATGAGAGAGAGAGAAGGATTAGTATTTTCCATTTAATTCCACTACTTTATTTGCTTATCCTTGACAGATACGCGTATTTCGTCTACAATGTGCAGACTTCTTCAGTGTCTTGTACTAATACTAGACTGAAGAAAAACATCGCATTTA